TTTCAGCGGGACACACAAAGAGTGGAGAACTCAGGGAACAACTGCTCTAGCAAAAACACATTTTCTAAATACACAGACATGAAGTTTTGTGAAAGTCAACAAAATAGGCTGTAAATTATTGATATGATTCAGAAGCAAACAATCAGTGAGTTGGTAAAGTATGACCACATACCCCTTCTATTGCATGTTAAGCAAACTGCAACTGAGAAGCATGCCTCCCAGAAATATTTAAGTTTTTTGAGGCAGCTATGTCTTTGCCTCTACTCTGTGTTGTCTGCACAGATGCCTGTTATATTGCTTATAGGGCTATGATTTGATAATGAAATTAATATCCAAAGATTCAAATATAATATCTTTAAAACACATTCTTCGTCGCTCTATTAGTGTAGTAACTGGCTATGTGTTAAGATGGACAGAATTTCTATGAAAAATAAACACGTACAGACTAGTAAGCCACAAACTCATGAATATTGCCTTTGAACACTTGGTGTACATTTAAAACAAATGTAAAATGTTTTATATGATTTTGTTTTGTGTCTAGAATCAACAAACTGGAGGCCAGATGGTTGCTGCACAGAAGGACTAGAGTGCCATGCTACTCCTGAATCTGCTGACTTTGCCCTCGAGGAACATCCATCAATCAGGAATTTGTGTGACAACAACAACCACACATTTTCCCAATGCTCTGAACACACAAAAGAGACACATCACGCTGGCCTTAATGAAGAATCAGAGAGTGAAGATCCTTTTCACATAGATACATTTGGTCACCCCCTACATGAGTTTGTTGAGGAGGGAACTTAAGATCATAACCAGTCATCTGATGATGACCTGTCCTTTGATGAAGACCTATTATGTGAAGACAGTGCAGAAGTGAACAACTTGGTTTAAAATGCTTTGAAAGTGTTTTTTGGAAAGGACTAACATGTAAAATCAATTAAAAAGAGCATGGTGTATCTGAGCAACTGGTCACGTGTCAATAATCCTGTCTATTTTAATTTATTTAAAATTGCATCACTGTATACTGTATAATAATGGGTTATTAAAATTTTATTAAGAATTTACCTTATTTTGGCCCATTTTCATAACCTATTATGTGTCAGTGTCTGCCTGCTACAGCTTACTGCTCCCCAAGTCTCCATGTGTCTGTAGCTCATGTTGTTAATATTCATAGGCCAATAGGTAGAAAGCTCACTCTGAAAAAGTAAAGCAGTTTGATTATGGTGAATATTTTCTCACATACATGATGTACCTATGTGCTGTGAATATTATAAAAAAAAGTGCAGATAACAGGACCATGCACAAATAAATAGATAAAGGAGAATATGTTAAAAGCCAGTTAGGTTGTCAGACCTATAGAAATAGGGCTTTGTTTTAAAATGTATTGCATTAAAATAGTACATTTTCATGTCACCGATAAATCATGTTTATTAAAAGAGCAGAGAGCACAAGGCTCTGTTTTTACTCCATGTGAGATCAACATGACTCAAAAACTGAGTTTGAAAAAAGTGAAGGGAGGTTAGATTGAGTAAATTGAGAGAGCTCTCCAAGTTCTCCACCCAAGTCTCAAAACTTGAGAAAAATCCAAGAATCATTTCAGAACTCGATGAGATCTCCTTTGGAACTGAAAGGGAGACGAGGTTGAGATTTTGTGCAGCTATTTTATCTGGAGGGTGAGAAGCTGGAGAAATAAGCCATTGTCTCATTTAGCTTTCACATGGATCTCAGTGTTATCTAGAAGAAATAAATGAAACCTTCTTAAGATCTCTTCTAAAACTATTTTCCTCTGGGGAGAAGTTGACCTTTTTGCAGAAGGTTTTGGCATGACAGCAGCGATACTTAATACATACCTAAAGGTGCAGTGTGTAAGCTGTGCCGGCACATTGTGGTACAGACGTGGCAGAAGTGCAATACATTATTCATAAGTCTGTTTTAGTGTATAATACCATGTGACTCATTGTGTTTTTGTTACTTTAAAAGGAGCCCTTTATATCTGCATATAGGGAGTGGGTCCTCTTCCACAGAGGCTGCCATGTTTTACATCTATGGGGTTTCAGTTGGATGGAAAATGCTGTGGATGCTGTGAGGTTGCAGACTGCATCCAACTGAAAATCCATAGATATAAAACCTGGCAGCCTCTTTACTTACTATAAAGATAACGGCTCGTTGTTGCTGATACTTGAATTTAAATGTTTTGCACTTTATATAAATTGCTTTGGAATTGGCCTCTGTTAGATGCCTTAAAGTAAATATTTGTGTAAGTATTTTTATTTTTTAAATTCTTGCCTATTTAACCTAACTTTCATGTTCGTAAGGTTAATTTCTTTTATTTTTTTCTATTTACAAAAACATTTTTTTAAGTTTGTCAATTTCAATAAAGACAGACATGGTTTGAGAAGACACTTTATTATTTACGTTTTATTATTTGTCTTCACATTTTAAGTTGCAGTTTCAAAGGCTATGTTTATTTATCACATTAAAACATGGTGTTTATAACATGACATGCAAGGAGTAATTTATCAAATCACTAGGTTTAGAAAAATAAATATAATGTGTCAATTTTGCTAGAAGGAAATGAATTAACAGCAAGGTGTAGTATTTTGCTAGAATTTACAGTAAAAATCTGCAAATATACCTCTTATGAAGAAGTGTAAATAAACGGTAATAAACTGCTAATCTTTTCAACAGTATGTTCCTGTTGAGGTTTAAAATCACAGCTTTTTGCTGTATTTATAAAAACGGTAGCTAACTTCAGCTACAGCAATATACCGTTAATTTTACAGTAACTTCCTTGCAACCCAGTTGATTACCATTTTTTTGTCATTCCAAATGTTACAAACTTGCCTTTTGAGCTATCGACAAGCTGTTCAAACTGCAAAAACAGTGTTCATTTCAAATAACTGCCATAAACCACAGATATTGTATATCTGTAAATATCTTATAAATCCATGTGACAATAATTCTGCTGCACCCTCCTCTACTCTCTGTAACACTTTTCTTCATTTTTTTGTAGAAAAAATATCAGTCCTTAGATCCTCCCTAATCACACCCACTGAACCTGACCCGTCTGTTCCTCCTATGTGCCTAGCTGTTTTGGACCAGCTGGAGCCCATTTCAATGTCCTGTCTATCTGAGATTGTTCACCATCTTCGGCCCACTAACTGCCCCTTAGCCTCCCCTCTCGTCTCCTTAAGAAAATATTTGATACAGTTGGCACCTCAATTCATACATTGATAAACACCTGTCTTGTATCTGGTTGTGTTCCAGCTGCCTTCAAACAACCTGCCGTGCAACCTCTGCTAAAAAATCCAAATCTCGATCCCTCTGTTCTCTCTAACTTTAGGCCCATTTCAAAACTCCCTTTCCTGTCAAAAATCCTAGAAAAGGCCTGACACAGCTCCAAACCTATCTAGTGACACATGACGTGCATGAAAAGTTCCAGTCTGGTTTTAAACCCTGCCATAGCACTGAAACTGCTCTTCTAAGAATTTTTAACGATCTGATTTTAACTGTCGATTCTGGGGATTCTGCCATCTTAGTACTTTCAGACTTATCAGCTGCGTTTGACACCATAGACCACAATTCTTTTATCACGTTTAGAAAACTGCGTAGGAATAAAAAACACAGCACTCAAGTGGTTTCAGTCATACCTGTCTGATAGGACCTTCTCTGTCCACCTAGGGGACTATTCATCAGAGACAGCCCCACTTATGTGTGGAGTCCCACAAGGGTCTGTTTTAGGCCCAATCCTGTTGTCATTATATATACTACCACTGGGATCAATTTTTGCAAAATACAATATATCTTTTCACTTTTTTCTGCTGACGATGTACAGGTCTACATGCCTTTGAAATGCAAGGGTTCACCACAACCCTTACTCGACTGCCTTAAAGACATTGAAACCTGGATGACCCTAAACTTCCTCAAACTCAGTCCCAATAAGACAGAGGTCATTGTGTTTGGAGAACCTGGTGCTGTAGAAACGTTTGGTCCTCTTGCTGTTAATATGAAAAAATCTGTAAAGAGTCTTGGTGTGCACTTTGATCATGTTTTTAAATTTGGCAAACAGATATCCACTGTTGTGAGATCTAGTTTTTACCAGCTCAGACTTATAGCCAAAATAAAATCATACCTCCCTGCCAATGATCTAGAAACAGTAATACATGCATTCATAACATCTCGCCTGGACTACTGCAACTCACTATATGTGGGCTTGGACCAGTCATCCATCCAACGCCTGCAGCTTGTCCAAAATGCGGCTGCTCGCCTCCTAACAGGCACAAAAATAGGGACCACATAACCCCTGTGCTCCGTTCTCTCCACTGGCTTCCTGTTCGCTACAGGATTGATTTTAAAATTTTACTTCTGGCTTTTAAATCATTAAATGGCTCAACACCTCATTACCTAAGTGAACTACGACATGTTCATGCTCCATCCAGAGCACTAAGGTCCTCCAACCGGCTGCTCCTGGACGGGCCTAAAACAAGGCTCCAAACGAGGGGCGATCGAGCCTTTTCTGTTGCAGCTCCGACACTTTGGAACAGATTACCATTTAAAATAAGATCTGCTGCCACAACTGAACAGTTTAAGTCATTTTTAAAAACCCATTTCTCTTCCTTGGCTTTTACCTCTAGTTGAGTGTTTTATCCCAGCAGCAGTGTCTGCTAGAACTTTTACTATTGTTTTGTGTTTTAATTTACTTTTAATTTTTGCTTTTACGTGTTTTATGATGTTTTGGATGTAAAGTTTTTTTGGTCCTCAGCTGTTATAAATGTGCTGTATAAATAAAGTTGACTTGACTGACATCATCGATCATATTTATTACAGACGCACAAGAACACAATACACACAAATACACACTGACTCCGAGAGGAGGTTCTCTCTCTCTCTCTCTCTCTCTCTCTCTCTCTCTCTCTCTCTCTCTCTACAGAACCTTTGAGAACATCAGATCAGTTCAGAGTTCAAACAGGAAGTGTATTTGTTTATTTGTTTGTTTTTGTTCAGATGTTGACGAGCTGCAGACTCGTCTCGTCACAGACTTCAGCGTCCACGGCAACCACCGTCTCTTCCTGTTTGTAGGTCAGTGCAGGTGTCATGTCATCATCAAACAGGATGGGCGGGGCTTCCTCTGCAGGCTCCGCCCCCACGCCATGCATGCGTTTCCTGTGCTGCTGCAGGTTCCCGCTGCGGTTGAAGCGAGCAGGGCAGAGGTCGCAGGTGTACGGCCGCTCGCCCGTGTGGATGATGACGTGTCTGGCGAGCTGCGAGCGGCACTTCTTGTCCTTCCCGCAGATGTGGCACACAAAGCTCTGTGGCGGGCGCGCTCCGTTGGCGTGCACGACGTGGCGGTGCCTCTTCAGGTGGCTGTGGCGTCTGAAGCTGCGGCTGCAGAAGTCGCAGGCGTACGGTCGCTCCTCGCTGTGGACGAGCGAGTGACTCGCCAGCAGAGATCTGAACTTGAAGACTTTGGCGCAGACGGGACACGGGAACTCCTTCAGCGTGGTCGAGCTCTTCCTGCGGCCCGCCACGCGCTGCCCCCTGCTTGGCCCTCAGGTGAACCCGTACGTGGTGCTGCTTCAGGCAGGTGGCGCGCTGGAAGCTGCGCAGACAGACGCCGCAGCGGTGCGGTTTGTCTCCGGAGTGGATGCGAGTGTGAGCGGAAAGCAGCGCCTCTGATTTCAAACGCTTCCCGCAGACGTCACATGCAAACGGCGCGTCGGGCGCCACGTTCTCCTCGCCGTCCACTCTGTTGGCGTGCACCAGGATGTCGTGGCGTTTGAGCTGGTACTGACGGCTGAACTTGCGCCCGCAGATGTCACAGAGGTGTGGCCTCTCTCCGGTGTGAGACAGGAAGTGGAGCGCCAGCTGTGACCTACATTTGAACTCTTTCCCACAGAGGTCACAGAGCAGCGAGCGCGGCCGCTGAGCCTCGGTGCCGCCGTCCACATGGACGACCTTCTTGTGGTGCTCGAGGTCGTTGGTCCTCATGTAGGTTTTGGGGCAGAGGTCGCAGCGGTGCGGTTTGACCCCCGAGTGGATGACCTCGTGTGTTTTCAGTCTCGACCTGCAGTTGAAGGTTTTGCCGCAGACGGCACAGAGCCACGCCTGCACGTTACGCTGCTTCTCCAGCTTGGCGACGCCGTTGGGGTGGAGCCTGCTCAGGTGGTGCTGCAGGTTGTCGCGGCGGTTGAATCGCATCTCGCACAAGTGGCAGGCGAACGGTTTGTTCCCCGTGTGGATGAAGGCGTGACGCGCCAGGCTCGACTTGTTCTTCATCACTTTCCCACAAACATCGCACACCGTGCTGTCGGGCTCCAGCTTCACCCCCAGGAGAGGTGCATGCTGGGAGTCTGAGTCCAGCTGGACGGCGGGAGACTGGGGAGCGATGAGGTCTGGTGGGGGGGGGGGGGGGGGGGCACGGAGTGTAAAGAGTGAATCAAACACATTGAAAAACTGAAATGCAACACTGATGCTGGTGATGACCTCACCTCTCTCAGGTGGAGACCAGGTGGGATCACCTGTGTCCCCCTCCTCTTCCTCCCCCACCCCCTCCTCCTCCTCCTCCTCTTCCTCTTCCTGGAGGTCGGGGTCAGGTGACACGTGGCTTCTGCGGCGGCGGCCTCGTTGAGCCCGTCTCCTCTTGGCGGTGGTGTTTGGGGGCGGTCTCTTCTGGGACCTGGACCGGGTCGAGGTGAGTTCAGGGGACAGTTTGACAGCCGGTTGGATGGTCCTGGTTCTGGTCCGGTTGGGGTTGCAGTGCTGCAAGAGAGCGCCCCCGTCTGGTCCATCGGGTCTGACTGCAAAACACTCAAGCAGCATCTGAGACGAGCCTGCAGCAGGAGAGACGTGAACAGATCTATAAACACAGATCTATACACACAGATCTATGAACAGATCTATAAACAGATCTATAAACAGGTGAACAGATCTATAAACACAGATCTAAAAACAGATCTATGAACACAGATCTATAAACAGGTGAACAGATCTATAAACACAGATCTAAAAACAGATCTATAAACAGGTGAACAGATCTATTAATACAGATCTATAAACAGATCTATAAACGGATCTATAAACATGTGAACAGATCTATAAACACAGAGCTATAAACAGATCTATTAACACAGATCTATAGACATGTGAACAGATCTATAAACACATCTATAAACACAGATCTATAAACAGATCTATAAACACAGATCTATAAACACATCTATAAACACAGATCTATAAACAGATCTATAAACACATCTATAAACACATCTATAAACACAGATCTATAAACACATCTATAAACAGATCTATAAACACATCTATAAACACAGATCTATAAACACATCAATAAACAGATCTATAAACAGGTGAACAGATCTATAAACACAGATCTATAAACACAGATCTATAAACAGATCTATTAACACAGATCTATAAACATGTGAACAGATCTATAAACACAGATCTATAAACAGATCTATAAACACGTGAACAGATCTATAAACACAGATCTATAAACACAGATCTATAAACAGATCTATAAACATGTGAAAAGATCTATAAACATAGATCTATAAACACAGATCTATAAACAGATCTATTAACACAGATCTATAAACATGTGAACAGATCTATAAACACAGATCTATAAACAGATCTATAAACACGTGAACAGATCTATAAACACAGATCTATAAACACAGATCTATAAACAGATCTATTAACACAGATCTATAAACATGTGAACAGATCTATAAACACGTGAAAAGATCTATAAACACAGATCTATAAACACAGATCTATTAACACAGATCTATAAACACGTGAACAGATCTATAAACACAGATCTATAAACACAGATCTATAAACAGATCTATTAACACAGATCTATAAACATGTGAACAGATCTATAAACATGTGAAAAGATCTATAAACACAGATCTATAAACACAGATCTATAAACAGATCTATTAACACAGATCTATAAACATGTGAACAGATCTATAAACACGTGAACAGATCTATAAACAGATCTATAAACACAGATCTATAAACAGATCTATAAACATATGAACAGATCTATAAACACAGATCTATAAACAGATCTATAAACATATGAACAGATCTATAAACACAGATCTATAAACAGATCTATAAACATATGAACAGATCTATAAACACAGATCTATAAACAGATCTATAAACATATGAACAGATCTATAAACATGTGAACAGATCTATAAACATGTGAAAAGATCTATAAACACAGATCTATAAACACAGATCTATAAACAGATCTATTAACACAGATCTATAAACATGTGAACAGATCTATAAACACAGATCTATAAACAGATCTATAAACACGTGAACAGATCTATAAACACAGATCTATAAACATGTGAACAGATCTATAAACAGATCTATAAACACAGATCTATAAACATGTGAACAGATCTATAAACACAGATCTATAAACAGATCTATAAACACGTGAACAGATCTATAAACACAGATCTATAAACATGTGAACAGATCTATAAACAGATCTATAAACACAGATCTATAAACAAAACTATAAACACAGATCTATAAACACAGATCTATAAACACAGATCTATAAACAAAACTATAAACACAGATCTATAAACAAAACTATAAACACAGATCTATAAACACAGATCTATAAACACAGATCTATAAACACAGATCTATATATATATATTTTTTTCCCCTCAATTTCCTGACCTGTGATGACGTGATCAAGTCTGTGACTTAAATGTGTTATTGATTAAACAGAACATGACGCCTTCTCAGTTAAATGTACTGTAACAGATGTGTGTAGGACACTAAAACAACATTTGTTACACTGGATCTGTTCTAGTGAATCTGGATCTATAGATCAGGGCTCTGCTGCACCCTGCTGTCACAAACACGCCGCTGCAGCTGAATGAACACTGTAACTGTACAGTTACCATGGCAACAAAACAACATAAGGTCAGGTGAAGTCCTAGACACCTGATTGGCTCATTTACTGACAAACTCAAACTGTCTAAAATGTTTGGAAAGGAGGGCGGAGCTTATTGTAAAACACAAGGGATCAGAAAGGTATCGAACCTTTGGCCAACGTTCAGTAAGACAGGCCCTCACTTATCAGGTCTTTACTTCTCTGTTATGATGTCACTCAGGTCTTTACTTCTCTGTTATGATGTCACTCAGGTCTTTACTTCTCTGTTATGATGTCACTCAGGTCTTTACTTCTCTGTTATGATGTCACTCAGGTCTTTACTTCTCTGTTATGATGTCACTCAGGTCTTTACTTCTCTCTGTTATGATGTCACTCAGGTCTTTACTTCTCTGTTATGATGTCACTCAGGTCTTTACTTCTCTGTTATGATGTCACTCAGGTCTTTACTTCTCTGTTATGATGTCACTCAGGTCTTTACTGCTCTCTGTTATGATGTCACTCAGGTCTTTACTTCTCTGTTATGATGTCACTCAGGTCTTTACTTCTCTGTTATGATGTCACTCAGGTCTTTACTTCTCTGTTATGATGTCACTCAGGTCTTTACTTCTGTTATGATGTCACTCAGGTCTTTACTTCTCTCTGTTATGATGTCACTCAGGTCTTTACTTCTCTGTTATGATGTCACTCAGGTCTTTACTTCTGTTATGATGTCACTCAGGTCTTTACTTCTCTCTGTTATGATGTCACTCAGGTCTTTACTTCTCTCTGTTATGATGTCACTCAGGTCTTTACTTCTGTTATGATGTCACTCAGGTCTTTACTTCTCTGTTATGATGTCACTCAGGTCTTTACTTCTCTCTGTTATGATGTCACTCAGGTCTTTACTTCTGTTATGATGTCACTCAGGTCTTTACTTCTCTGTTATGATGTCACTCAGGTCTTTACTTCTCTCTGTTATGATGTCACTCAGGTCTTTACTTCTCTGTTATGATGTCACTCAGGTCTTTACTTCTCTCTGTTATGATGTCACTCAGGTCTTTACTTCTCTGTTATGATGTCACTCAGGTCTTTACTTCTCTGTTATGATGTCACTCAGGTCTTTACTTCTCTGTTATGATGTCACTCAGGTCTTTACTTCTCTGTTATGATGTCACTCAGGTCTTTACTTCTCTGTTATGATGTCACTCAGGTCTTTACTTCTCTCTGTTATGATGTCACTCAGGTCTTTACTTCTCTGTTATGATGTCACTCAGGTCTTTACTTCTCTGTTATGATGTCACTCAGGTCTTTACTTCTCTCTGTTATGATGTCACTCAGGTCTTTACTTCTCTCTGTTATGATGTCACTCAGGTCTTTACTTCTCTGTTATGATGTCACTCAGGTCTTTACTTCTCTGTTATGATGTCACTCAGGTCTTTACTTCTCTCTGTTATGATGTCACTCAGGTCTTTACTTCTCTCTGTTATGATGTCACTCAGGTCTTTACTTCTCTGTTATGATGTCACTCAGGTCTTTACTTCTCTCTGTTATGATGTCACTCAGGTCTTTACTTCTCTGTTATGATGTCACTCAGGTCTTTACTTCTCTGTTATGATGTCACTCAGGTCTTTACTTCTCTCTGTTATGATGTCACTCAGGTCTTTACTTCTCTGTTATGATGTCACTCAGGTCTTTACTTCTGTTATGATGTCACTCAGGTCTTTACTTCTCTCTGTTATGATGTCACTCAGGTCTTTACTTCTCTCTGTTATGATGTCACTCAGGTCTTTACTTCTCTCTGTTATGATGTCACTCAGGTCTTTACTTCTCTGTTATGATGTCACTCAGGTCTTTACTTCTCTGTTATGATGTCACTCAGGTCTTTACTTCTCTGTTATGATGTCACTCAGGTCTTTACTTCTCTCTGTTATGATGTCACTCAGGTCTTTACTTCTCTGTTATGATGTCACTCAGGTCTTTACTTCTCTGTTATGATGTCACTCAGGTCTTTACTTCTCTCTGTTATGATGTCACTCAGGTCTTTACTTCTCTGTTATGATGTCACTCAGGTCATATCTTGTTTCTCTTCTTTGCTGTATTAAGTATCTCCATGCCGTAAACTGTGGGGGTGAGGATAAAAAGGGGCGTGGTATTTAAATGACGATCGTTTCCACACCTATCAACACCTGGTCTTGCGTACGCTGTGTTCAGCCAGATACGCACGTTTCATAGGTCCCACTTGGACCCTGTCGTACCATGATTTCTACACCAGACTGATAAGTGAGGGCCTCTGTGAGCTGCACCTGTGTGTGTGTGTGTCTCACCTGTGTGTGTGTGTGTCTCACCTGTGTGTGTGTGTGTGTGTGTGTGTGTGTGTGTGTGTGTGTGTGTGTGTGTGTGTGTGTGACTCACCTGTGTGTCTCCAGCTGAGCTGCTGAGTCAGCAGATCCACCTGCACAGCAGCGTCCCTCCTGTCAGCTGATTCGCTCTGACAGCCCACCTCCCTCCTCCTCTCCTCCTCTGGACTCTCCCACTGACAGCCCACCTCCCTCCTCTGAGCCCCCTCCTCTCCTCCCCCCCACAGGTGATCTCCTGCAGGAGGCTCCAGGAGTTCAGACGACATCTTCAGACACCTGGACACAGAACAGAGGACACTGAGCATGCTCAGTAGGAGAGAGAGAGTGTACTGTCCCTTTAAATCTACAACAAGACCCCCTTAATACCCTACAGGACCCCCTCAACCCCCTACAGGACCCCCTTAACCCCTACAACACCCCTTAACCCCTACGAGACCCCCTTATCCCCTACAGGACCCCCTTAACCCCTACAACACCCCTTAACCCCTACGAGACCCCCTTATCCCCCTACGAGA